ATTTTTTAACTTTAATTAAGTTGTTTTATGCATTAATTTTTGTTAAAGATTTGTTTTAAAATCTATGTATTAAGACACCAATGTCATAATAATATATCTATATGTGTTCTTTCTGTCTTTTTGAATGTGAGTTGTCATGATATTTTTTTTATGATATTTTTTCATACTCACATATTGATGTCTTAAAGAATATATCATCTTGAGTCCTTTATTTGTTGTATCATTTCCATTGATACATGTTATGAGGCATTTTGATAGGGGGAGCTTTTTCCCTATATTTGTTTTATACCCACCCATGCTTTTTGATAGGGGAGCTTATGCTCTCTTATCTCTTATTGTTTTCCCATTTTGATATTGATAAATAGGGAGAAACAAGTATTTGTGAGTATATCTTGCTTTTGTTTCCTATTGGTTTTATGCATGAGGATTATAAAGTATATATTCATTTGGTATCATGCATATTTATATACTTTTTGTGTAGATTATTCGTCATCATCAAAAAGAGGGAGATTGCTAGGTCTCATGTTTATGAGCCTACTATCTAATCTAGTTTTGGTGATTAACAGACAATTCCTAACATTGTTTGTCAAGTGTTTGTATTTGCTTGTTAGGTATTCTACACAAAGATCCTCCGTTGAAGGTTGGTTGGATTGTACCTTCACGATGATATCTAAAAGAGGTTGGCGGATATAGGAATGAAGTCATTTGTATTTCCAGTCAAAGACTATATCGTGCTTCATCCTCACTACCAAGATCGAGTTCAATGAAGATTTTTTTAGCTTGGGTATATAGTTTCTAGTTTAGTTGTTATACTTGTATGTTTATACTTAAAAGCTCAAATAATACACACATACACATTTTTGTTTTATAGCTTTCAAGTTTAATCGTATAAATATGAAACAAATAGTTATATTTATATAGATATTTACTTGTTTCATATTTATCATCTTTATTTTAGAAAATAATGTGTTTATGGATTAAAGACTTATTTACACTAATTTATATCTTTCCTCAAGTCTATTAATCTATTGAAAAGTGTTTCAAAACTTATTTGGAATAATTTCATCAAACATTAAGTTTTGATGATTTCGTATTCTTGAACAATTTGCAAAATACATGAGTTTTCTCAAATGGGAAATACAATTTGAAAAATTCTTTTTTCTAACATGTTTAATTTCATGTGGACAAACATTTTCCCAAGTTTCATAATTTATTTGCTATTTTTAAACTCTCTTTGAAAATCAGATTTTTTTGTTCAAAACTGGGTTGTGCACGTTTAAGTCGACCGACACTGTTCATCAGTCGACCGATAAACTGCTCTGTAATTGTTAAAAGGTTTCTGCTCAGTCGACCGATCATTCTCAGTCAACCAAACAAGCCTATCAGTCGATCGATGAGGTTCATCAGTCGACCTATGAAGTGTTGATTTATAAACATGCGTAGGCCAACACTTGAATTGAGTGTTCTCATATACCTGCATGTCACCTTCCTCTAATTGATCAAAGGTAAAAAAAATTAAATGTGACCAATAACTCTGCAAGTATATGAGAACACTCAATTCAAGGATAATATTTCTTGAGAAATTTCTCATAGATCGGCGCAATAAGCCAATTACCATTTGGATCAATCAGTCAGTATGCCTCCATTTGAGTAGATTGTCTCTACTACAAATAGAACTTTCCATTTGTGTTGAAACTTTCCTTTGGTCTTGTGTGTCATGACCATGTATTGACAAACAGCTAAGACCAAGTCTCCTTTAATGGATCATTTTTTTACTCTTGTTGAAGGATCTTGATATTCAAGATTGATGCATCTTAATTCATTGTTGAGCTTTTAGTCTCAACTCGTCCAGCACCTCTAGTTCTTGGAGAAGCCTCTAATTGTGTTCTTCTATCGTTATGGTGACTGGGTCTAATGAGTCATAAAGATTATGAGGGCTAAAGCAATGATGACTTTATCAGAGCAGCTACTGCGAGGGACATCGGTTGTTGGCGAGGGGTTCGAGGAAACTACCACCTCTTTAGTCATCTGGTTGAGGGCCGACAAACACCGTATTTTTAGTCGGCCATGCAAGTTGTCAGCCTAAAGTGGTAGGTCGAGTGTGAGTACTTATATGGTCGATCTGGGGGGTAGGCCGATAAGTACGCTTTTTTAGTCAGTCATGCAAGTTTTGGCTTAACGGGCCGGCGATAGAAGCTGCTCGGGTTGACTGGACTCTGATCATATTTGATTAGACAAGGAACGAGACATGTGTCGGCCCAAGAATGTGGTTTTAACAGTTGGTAATTTATCGTCAAAACAATGCGAATACGGATCTTGATATTCACTACACATTTGTAGCTGTAACGGTTTCTATTGGACATAGCTAGTTAATAATCATATCTGTATTTTAATGGATATAATACAAACCTTTTCTTTTCACTCCTAATCACAACACTATTTATTGTCTTTAACTTCATATTTCAAAAAATTTATTAACAGCTGGTACATAGTTTTTGCAGAAAACAAGGTCATATCAACCATCACACAACAAATACACTAAATAGATAGAATAAAAAGCTTATACTTAATGCAACAATAATTGTGAATTACAAATAAGAACACCCCTCAATCAGACAATCACACGACCAAATCTTTTTTTTTTCCTAATTAATTTGCGCAAAAAGCGTAGGACCATTGACTTAATATCGACCAAGTAAATCCTAATGATAGGGCTCCCTTTCACAATACAGATCCAAGCAAATAGCACATGCAATATCTAATAATTTAAAATCAGATATAGACATGTCATACAAATTGAGCATTAACCTTTTAAGCTTGAGGTTGGAGACCCAACTACTAGGTTGCTCGTGCGTAGGTGTGGCAAATGGGTTGACCCAACCCGACCCAACTCATATAAATTTTGATCAAATCCACATAATATCGACCCGACTTGACACATCAAATAATTGGTTCAACCTGTTTATTAAACGAGTTACTCACCGACCCAAGTGATCCATTTAATTATCTTATAATTTTCATGTACTTAACATAGAGTCAATGGTCAAAGTTTTTATGGTCCTATTTATCATTCATAAGTTTTGTTACTGTTTAGATATATTTAGGGTGTTTTTTGTTAAATTTGAATTTTGAGTGTGTATTTTGTAAATTTAACAAAGTCTAGGGTGTTTTCTGGAAATATCATTTTCTCAATGGACTTTTTCTAATTTATAAACTTAATATCATGTGTAAGTTTTAAACTTTCAGTTATTTTTTAAATTTAAAATTTTTTTAGAATGTTTTATTATAATTTTTAAAGCTTTTAAAGTGTTTTTTACAAATATCAAAAAATTCACATTGCTTTAAATAAGCTCTAGGTTTTATATTGTTTGTAAGTTTTCATATTTCTGGCATGCATTTCTATAAAGTTTGACTTTCCAGTGTGTATTTTGTGATTTTAAAACTTTGAGGGTGTTTGCTGCAAATTTCAAAAAAAAATTCATTGCTACTTGCAGGTTATAGATTTTGTACTATTTATAAGTTTACAATTTTCCAATGTTTAGGGTGTTTTCTATAAATTTCAAAAAAAATCATGGTGCTCCTTAAAACTTATTGATTTTGTAGTTTTTGTAGGATCTAATGTTTTTGGGGCATGTTTCTGTAAAAGTTTGACTTCTAACCATGTATTTTGCAATTTTTTAAACGTTTAGGGTGTTGTTGTTTTTTTTTTGCAAAACTCAAAATTTTCAGTGGGTTTTGTAATTTATAAAGTATAAATTTTTCATTGGTCATAAGTTACAATTTTTCACTTTTTAAATTTTGGACTTATTTTAGGTGTTTTTTGCAACTTTTGAAACTATTAGGGTGTTTCTTCTTGCAAATTTCAAAATTTTCATGGTGCTATTTATAAGTTATAGATTATATACCTATTTATAGATTTTGATCTTTCAGGGGTGTGATTTTGTAAAAGTTGACTTATTTAGGGTGTTTTTTGCAGCTTTTGAAACTAATTGGGTGTTTTCTACAAAATTTTCATGGTATTACTTATAAGTTTCAGATTTTTCTACTTTTTGTAGGTTTTGATGTTTTTGAGCTGTGTTTTCATAAATTCAACTTTTTGAGAGTGCTTTGTAATTTTTAAAAATTTTAGGGCTTTTTTGCAAGTTTTAAAATTTTCATTGTCTTGTTTTTCATTTATACATTTTTGTATTGTTTTGTGAGTTTTTGTATTTTTATGATCTTTGGTACATTTTGAACTTTTGAGGATGTTGTTTTAATTTTTGAACTTCTAAAGGTGTTCTCTGCAAATTGCAAATTTTTTATAGTGGTGTACGTAATTTATAAATTTATAGGTTCTATAAATATTGATAGTTTATGGGTGTGATTTTATAAATTTTAAATGTTAAAGGGTTTAACGATAATTGGGTTAAAATTAAACAGGGGTTAATCTGGTTTATGACCCAATTAACAAATGTGCCTTTCATGTCGACTTGATTATGACAAGTGATATGTACCCATTTACAACGGGTAGGATCGGGTCGAATCAGCAGGTTGGTTCACAAATTCCACCCCTACGTGAGTCGTGAGGAGCCATCTACAATCAGGGCATCTTCTAGAACTTCAGGATTCGCAATAAATGAATAAATAAATTAAAAAGGATAACACCCGATGAATCTAATCCAAGATAAAGGAAAGCAGGCAGTTTTTCTACGTATAGCCATTCTCAGCCTTTTAACCAGAGAGAAGAAAGAGATGCCTCTCATTCAATCTATCTCCACGCAACGTCTGTCACCCACCCTTTTAAAATTGCAACAATTCCCACGTGCCCAAACGGTAATATAATAATAGAAAAATGATAGGAGCATACTCCCCGCCACAATCTCAACCACACTCACTTTCTCATTTATTATAGTACACCATATCTCATATGGAATTTTAAAATTTTAAATCTCTTATAGGACCCAATGCACCGTAACAAATGAGAAAATGGGTGTGGTTGTGCCCCTAGTGACACCCATAGCAATAACAACTTCACCGGTCCCTCGATAATATAGCAATAACAATGGCGGTTGGCGCTTTGATCTACAGAATGTCCCCATGAATTAAAAAAAAAAAGATTAAAACAGTGCATTTTTTCCCATTCCATGTTTATTTTCTACACATTGGTCACAGGTCAGCTGAGCCCATCTATATTTTTTTTCCCCACATAAATAATAATAAATTAATATCCAAAACCAAAAGGTACGTGGGTCCCATTCATCGACCTCGTGGTCCACCACCCGCCAATTCACACCTTTCCTTCCCCTTCCTTTCTTTCGAGAGGCGGGTTAGTGGGCGCGCGCCGCACGGGTGTTTAGAGGAGGAGGGGTGGCCTTGTTCCTTCACTGCAAAATTTGAGGACTGGGTCTTCTTCTTCCTCTTCCTCCGCTCCTTCCTGCCTCTTCTTCCTCTGGCCGGTTTGCGGGCCATGGTCAAATCATCAAACTCAGGTGTCATCTCTTCTCAGCCTTCCAAGCGTGCAGATTGTCATTTCCTGCAAGAAACCAGAAACCCAGACACTTCAATTTTTGCACCGCAGCTATAATAATGAACAAAAAGTTCTATAGAGAGAAGAACTCCATATCATACAGGGAGAAAGAGAACTCCACACCATTAATGACGTCAGGCGTCACCAACGTCTCCTTTCACTATACTTTCACTGTATACTGCTTCTACAGAGACAAAATTTTTTTTTTTGGGTTTTTTCTTAATAGAAACAGCCTTTAAAATAGGGCAAAACCACGAAAGCCTCCACTAAAGTTCAATATTAATACAGAAACTACAGGTTTAATACAGAAGCTACAGGTACCGGTCGCAATCGACCCCCTTAACAGCTCACGGGTGTTATTTCGATTGAAATCCTCAAAAAAGATGCCTTTAAAAAACACGCCCACATGACATGGCTTCTTTAACTAAATTTAGTCAATTTCCCCCATGCTTTAAGGGTATTTTGGGAATTTCAATCAAAGGTTTTACCATAGAATTGGTCAAAACGGTTGATTACTATCATAACTCATTTACATGTGGTTCTTCTATTCATTAGATTGTTAAAATGTATTCGTATTGCCATCCTAATTTAAAGTCGGTTCAGTAAGGAAATACTTGTTTTAGAATCTAAACACGAGCAAGTTGAAGAGAGAGACTGAAGCGATCATTACCAGTTATAGACTGCTTCTGCTCAGGCTTGACCGAAACTGATGATGACATTGCATTACTATAGGGGAAATTAGTAGCCATAAGAGGATGAGGAGCCATGGATGTCATCAATCCCTTGGCTGATGCCTTCGTGGGGTCCGATGTTGGGGAAGATGAGGAAAGTGAAAGCATCCCTGAGCCGCTCGAGTTCTGTTGATGTTGATGTTGCTGGTGATATCCGGCCTTGGAGGGCTGAGAGGTTTGGGCTTGGATGTTGTACGGGTTGAAGAAAAGTTGTGGCTGTTTCTGAGGCTGATGAGGACTAAGTTTGTTGCTGTGCGGATGGCCAAGGATTGATGTTATGCTCCTGTTGTTTGTATTGGTGGTAATGGGTGAATTCTTAGCTTGCTGCTGCTGTAAGGGCAATGTGGGTTGTTGTCCAGGCTTCGAGCTTGGAGATGCCCGTGGGCTCCCACTATTGCCTGTTACAGAGTTGTTGCTTTTGGATGAAGTGACACCAAATGATATCTGGGTTTGGTGAGGGTTTGGAGTGAGGTGAGGCTGCTGAATTTGTTGTTGTTGAGGGGTTTGGTTCTTTGCCGATGAGGATGATGACGTTGCAGAGGAGGCAGAGGCAGAGGTTGATGCTGCTCTGGTTGAAGCTTTCCACTGAGGAGAGTGAACAGATGGAGGGAACCCGGTTAGTGAACCTTGAGGGAATCTAGCAGCCATGGAGGGTGAACTGACATTAGCAGTTGTCGTCGTATTGGCAGTAGAAGATTTTACAGCACGAGATGAGTTCTGTTGCTGTTGTATCTGTAGTTGCTGATGTTGATGAAGCTGCTGCTGTAGTTGTATCATTCTTTGCTGCTGCTGCTTCTGAAACTGAATCATTTGCTGCTGCTGCTGCTGCTGCTGTTGAGAACTTGGAGGAACACTAGCAGATGGAGCTGAGGTTGACGAGGGAGCAGAACTTGGAGGTGGAATCAATGGCCGGCCACCATTAAGAATCAGGTGATTGCCACTACCGAGGATGCTCGTGAAATTAGGTACTGTGGGTTCACTATCAGGTCTCGCAAAGCTAAGTGAGTGCTGCTGACCACCATTCTTTCCATCCCCAACAGTAGCAGATGTGGCGTTTTTCCCCTCAGTAACTGCATTTGCAATTGGAGTCCCGGAATCCCCTCCAGATTTCCCATCTTCATTATGACCCTTTTTGTGCTGAGCGGCAGTGGTGGCGGCGGCGGCTGCCGGAATTTGAAACCCATGCTTTGCTAAATCTGGAAGGGTTTGTATCAGCGCAGGATTCTGAACGATGGCTGAGATATCAAAACTGGGAACAGCTCCGGCACTGGATCCACCGAAAGACGCAAAGGACATGGCATACGCCTGAGCCTGAGACGGGGTGAGCTCCACCTTCATAGCTTGAAGATGCTGCTGATGAGCTCCAGCCTGTTTGTTTTCACTATGACTCCCACCAGAGACCAGGGCAAAATTCGGAGGCATGACAAAGTTTTGACCATATAGGCTTTTCTGAGCTTGTGAAGCCTTGTTACTATCTTCTGTTGATGGGTTGTCCTTTGAATCTCGTAAATGCATAGTATTGGAGTTGGAAGCAGCAGAAGCTCCACTTCCGGGCACCCTCTGTGACTTTTGTGCTTGTTTATGAGAGGATGATGAACCACTTGATGTGCTCGGGTTCCCCTGCTGTTGCTGTTGCTGTTGCCTAAGCTGCTGCTGCTGCTGCTGCTGCTGCTGATGTTGATGCTGTTGTTGATGCTGCTGCTGAAGTTGTTGGATTAGCTGCTGTTGCTGCTGCTGAGAAGGAACCATATGCGGTGAGTAGAAAGGCCCGTTGAAGAAAGGCATGCCTTGTGCTGGACTTGCTCCTCTATAAGCTGGAGGTGCAGCTATAGGAAATGGGTATGCATTGTTCTGAAGAATGGCCATATATTGAGCATCATTCTGAGATAAACCCGCATAGTTGAAATTCATGGTAGTTGCTGAGGAGTGCCCAGTTGCTCCAGAGCCTCCTCCTCCTCCTGCTGCTGCTGCTGCTGAACTAGCAGAAGCAGCTGCAGGTGCTGCATTGGTGGTAGTTGCAGGAGTAGATTTTGAGGTTGGCGTCGCTCGATTAGGGGCAACAGCTGGTTGCTGATTCATGGGGAAAATGAATGCAGGGGCATGCTGTAGATAGACCCAGGGTTGATATAATAGACTGTTAGCGTTAAAGCAAGAGTTTGACAAACGGAAAGCAAATGAAAAAGTACTTTCTCAAACTTAATTTATCTTATTATCTTCAATTTGCCAGTCTTGTTTGGAAAAGATAGAAAAAAAAATTGACGTGACTGCTCAAGTGTCATGGATTTTCTTCAAGTATACCTGGAGTGCTTTTGAAAGTGAATTGTGAAAAGTGAAAATCAAAAAGGGCAAAAAAGTGAAAATCAAAAAGGAAAAAAAACTTCTAAGAAATTGAAAACGGCTAAAAGGCCAACGTAAAACTCCACTTTATCTCTAATTTCATATCACTTTTCAATGACTAAATAGAAAAAAAAAGTTATTTGCACTTCAGTAGCCTAAAGTCTACAAGTTGTTTAGCTTTGACACCTCATAAGTTTTTTTTCACACTCAGATAACCTAAATTTCAGACCTGTTAAAGTTTGATATCCCAACACTTACAACTCTTTCACTTTGATACCCCAAGGTTTTTTCTGATACTTCAAATAATTAGAAAAGGTGTAAATCTTAGGAACCAAATTGCAAATAACCCAAAAGAAAAATTTATGGTAGGAATCTCACCAACATGTTTGGGACTGCTGAAGAAGATCCAGGTTGAGGAGGTTGCTGAAGCAAGAACTGCTTCCTCTGTGCAGCTTCCAAATAGTTGTTAGCTATTGTTTGAGTCGAGCTCTTCTCTTTAGAGGGAGCGATTGTTACCATTGGAGATTTATCTTGCAATGGAGCCAGACTTCTTGGAGGATATCCTCCCTGTAATGGGTTACCAAGGATTGCTGCTGAGTCTGATGCTGGCACTGCATTGAGATTGTATTGCTTGGACCCATAGAGAGGATGAGCACCAGCAGCTGTTGGTGATGGCCAGAATGGATTTATGCGAGAAATTTGCTGGTGGTAGTGAATGTTCTGTGCAATGTAGCAGTGGGTTGCACATCTCTTTGGTCGATTTTGTGGTTGAGGGAAAGGCAAAGGTTGCTGCATGACAAATCCAATTCAAAAACAGACCCCTCAAAAAATCATGAAAATATAATTGAGAAAGTAAATACCTGTAAAGGCTTGGCGGCTCCTGAGGCTCCATCCATGGGTACAACTGCTTGAATGGATGGAACTTGACCCATATACCTGATTGCAGAGATGAACATCAATAGACACTCAAACATGCATAGAAACCCAAAAGTATGTAAGGAGGTAAAAAGATACATGAAATCATTGCATTGCTTACCCAAAGTGAGGAAAACCACCGGGCCAACCAGCAACTGGCACAGGCAAAGGCAAAGATGCTGCTAATGCTGGGAACAAATTTTGAACCAATCACATCTCATTTGAATTTGATCAAAACGAAACACTTGCAAGGCTCTATTGAAACGAGAAAACTTACCGGGCTTCTCCTGCTTAGAATCAAGTTTCCCAGATTTTGCTTGCTGCTTAGGGACCTGCTGATGTTTGCCATTGCTACCAATACTAAGACCATCTTTATCATGCTTCTCTAGATCGAGTTGAAGAGTGGGCATCTTCTCTGATGAACCTTGCTTCTTCAAATCTAGTTCCCAAGACAGGAAATTTCCGGCATTCTGCTGATCAGAAGTCCCCTCATGCTTTGAGGTTTTCTCTAACTTCACTTCTCCATTCTCAATTTCAGATCCAGGCATCTGAACAAACTTAAAATAAGTAACAAAAGTACAGAAGATTATGTGATTGAAAGCTCAGTAATAGGCAGATATTCATCTTGCACACCATTTTCTTCTCTGGGCCCGTAGATTTGGAATCAGAAGCAAAGTCTGATAAGCCATCCCTCTCTGAAGACGACTTCTCAGGAAGTGGAGGAGCCTGCAAAATTATAACCCAGAAAAAAGTGGGAACTTTGTCATTGAATTAAAATTTAAACAAGAAATACAGAATAGTGAAAGATGAATGGATATCCCACCATTAGATCGATTCTGAACTTCTCTTCTCGAGGGCTTCCATTGGCTGGTGGGCTGAAAATTAATCCAAAAAAAGAACACGAAAAGCAACGTCAATCAGCTTAATTTCAAGATAAACATGAAAATAGAAAGATAAAGAATCTTCAAACTCACGCTTTGGCTTCTACTGCTGCTGTAGCTTCTTCGGAATTGACATTTGACTTAGATGGCAAAACGGAAACCTCTTCCTTCACTTGATTGCAGTTTTCGGGCTTCGCCGGATCTTGCTGGGCCTCGACAGAACGCTTCGGATCGCTTGAACCAATACCGTTTTCAATGGCGGAAGGTCCCGAAGTCTTCTTCTCCAATCTCGGTGAAGAAACATCCTCAGCTTTTTGGGGCATTTCAGACTCCATCTTCGTCGACAGGGCCACAGAGCTCGCTGGGCTTGTTGAGCTGTCATCTTCAACCTTAAGACGTGGCCTTTTCCTCTTTGGACCTGTGAAGACACCAAGAAAATCCCACATGAACAATTAACTCAAGATCTGAAATTAAAACCACAGTGACAATTATACTCACCAGTGGTGGCCATAGGCAAATTGGTAGAAGCCGCTGGAGTCTGAGAGATTGAGTTGGGAGAAGAGGCCCTCGATTTCGCGTCTGTGCTCAAGCCATTGGTATCTTTGGTCTCCGCCGGCTGTGTTTGCCTTGTCATTCCAAAGAGGACCTCTGCAACCTCCATCTCAATCTCTTGAACAAAAGATGGTGACTTTATCATCTTCGGCGGCCGATGCTTATTCCCACTCGATATCTTCTTTTTTCGAAGTGAAGCGTTCGATGAAGATGGAGAGATTGCTCTATTCGATGAAGGGCTTTGCCTGGCCGGAGAAGTCGAGGCCTGCCGATTGATCAGCTCTCCATTTGCAACCCAGCATTCTTGTGACCTTTTCGAAGATGCTGCATCACCAAACATAATTAAAACAAAACATGAACTAATAACCCCCTAAAAAAAGATCGAAATTTTTTTTTTCTAAACTTTCATACATGTCCTCGCTTTCCTCGGTATAGAAACCCCAATCACCTCCTCCGCTACCTTCCACGATGCTGCTGCAGGCCTCGACGGCTTCGTCGAGAAGCTACTATTCCGATGATGATTATTATTATGACTATGATGATGATTTTGCTGTTGAATCGAAGAAGATGACGACGGAATGGCCGACGGATTTGCCGCCGGCAACCTCACCGCCACCGATGCGTCCTCCTCCTCGTCGTCACCATCATCCATACTTTCCTCAGAGCTATCTTCTCCTCTGCTTAATCTCTCCCCTCGCCTCCTCTTGCTGCGACTGCTCGATCTCTCTCGATCCCTATCTCGATCCTTCTTCATTCCTCGATCTCGAAGTCTCGATGACTCCTGCGTCTCCACAGCTCCATCCTCTTCTGAAATCAAACAAAAAACCAGCTAAAAAGACATAAAAACGTGAAGACCTGGAATTAGAAATTGAGATCGAGATCGAACCAGGCGAATCCCTCAGATTCGTCGACCGCTGCTGCCGTCTCCTTGAGATGCTGCCGCCGCCGCCGCCGCCGTTGACGGCCGCCATGGTTCGCTCTCCTCGCTTCTCGATTCCTATCCGTCATCTTCTCCTCTTTCTAATCCTCTCATCAAACCAAACCCTAGATCAGTCCCTCTCCTCCTCCACTCATCTCTCAGCTTCCATTCTCCGACAAATCGAAGCACAGATCTGCCGATTGTTATAATTCCTACCGAAATCTCTATCAAACCCTGCAAAAAGGGGAAAAATCTCTCTTTGAGATTAGATCTCTCTCTCTCTCTCTCCCCCCTTCTTCTCTTCTCTTCTCTTCTTCTCTTGCTTTTCTCTTCTCTTTCTGCTGCTGCCTTCTCATCCTCTATCGGTTTTTCACTCGCCGAACCCCACTCTAAGCCCGAGACAAACGGCTGGGATCATCGATCAACCCAAGGTAATCAATACGAACCGTTGGATCTACTTTCCATCGGACGGTTCGCGATGGATCTTGCCATCCTGGCAGAAGATCTGACCGTCGAATCATCCGGGCCCGGTGGCGGGGACCACCACGTCTCTTAAAATATCCCGGTCTCACGCGTTCAACATTAGAGGGAACGACACGGCGCGCGGTCGGACAGTGACCTCGACGGGCTGCAGCCGGTGGACCCCTACAGAATTGGTGCACTGGGCCATTTAATTCCACCCCTTTCACTGCCTGCCTTTTTACCCACCCCACCCCCTCCCCCCGCCCACGTCCGACCCTGGTTGTGGTGGGACCCGCCTCGAAAGATACTGGCAGAATCATCGGTCTTGATCTCTTATCCCGCCCTTTGAAACGCTAACCAACCCGCTCCGATTGCATGCTGATGTGGCCACATTCCACGCGAGCCTAGCTGGCAGCGGTAAGCGCGGCTCACCGGCCGATCCATCACTTCAACGCGTTACGATCTCACGTGAGTTTTAGGGGAGGTGGTGGGCCCCGCTTAGGCCGCTGCCGATCGAGTATAATTAGGCGTTTTGTCGTGAGTAGCCCACGTGGGGTTCTGTTGACGTCACCCCCACCCCCCCCTCAACGAGTCAAATTTTACCGCAGCTCAATTGAAGCAGATTCATTCACTCATTTCTTTACGTTTTGAACATAATCATTAAATTATGGGCAGGAGGAGTCCGCATAGAGAATGTTATGCGCATGAACGCTACAGGAGACGGATTATGAGGGTGGAAATAGTCGCAGAGAAATATTCGTATGCGATCGGTCAGAGAGAGAGGAGATTTGAGCGGGATACTCCCTGCAGAGCTGACGAGTGAAGCGCAATTTTAACACGTGTACAGAAAACGGGAAACGGACACGTAGAAATTTAGACGGCTATGATTGGTTCGGGGATAGTGGTTGGGTACCCACCATTGTCAATGTAGCACTTTTTTATGGATAAATTTTACAAAAACCCTCAAAACTTGAAGGCGTTTGTTGCAGAAACCCCTTGAACTTTATTTTAACCGCTGAAAAATATCCAAAAATAATAATCCCACGAGGCTTCAACACTGTAGAATGTCACCCATAAGCGTCAACTTTCTACTCTTTACATTAAAATCCCCCAACAAATCGTTTTATATAAATGGAGGACATTTTCATTTGTACAATTATGTCCTTTGGCTGTTTTCTCCTTTGGCAAAGCCAGAATTTTATCTTAGTAGTATTCTTATACAACTTGTGAGTCATTAAAGTCAGCAATCCCAGAATAAGCCTTGGTGGTATCCTATCCTAATCTCCGCAATATCCTAAGTAGTAAATACATAAATGTAAATGAAAATATCTATAAAGTAGGCAATGCAATGGTGTCGTGTGACACCACGTACTGGACAACATGTCGCTCCACAACTAACTTTCGCTACAGCTCGATTTTCCATTTATCCTTTTTTTAGGATATTATAAAAACTAAAAGTTTCAGATGATTGCTTGAAATTTTTTAAATTTTCGGGAGTTTGTGAAAAAGGTTTTCAATTGGCTTAAGTAGGAAAAACAAAATCCAAGGAGGGTTTTGTGAAATGGTTCAAAAAGAAATTTCAGGTGGGAGGGTCATAAAAATTTCTCTTTTTTAACCATAGGGATATCTTAGTAAATTATTGGGATTAAATCATGCCTAAGTTGATTTAATTAGAATTTATTAAGCAATAATGCATTGAGCAGATATATGTTCAAGCATTAGTTGATTTTGGGATTTATCAAGAAAAATAATGCAATTCTCATAATTTTGTTTTAGTTGGGGTTATTGGTTGGGACAAGTTGACGCTAAATGAGATAATTATTTTAATAAAATAATTTTATCCCTTTAGGATATTTTGAGTAGGGCAAAGTAGGACAGTTTGTGATAATGAGAAAATTCGAAGATTTTATTTGATAATTCATATGAATAAATATTATTTATTTATCAATTAAGTTTAAATTAATTTATCCAATTGGTTTAGTATATTGCTTAGTATGTTATTATAATATATAATACAATATATTACTTTACACTAAAATATAATATGTTGTATTATAATTACTAATTAATTATAAATATATTTAATGTTATTAATTAATATATTATATTATATTATATTATAATAATATGATATATTATATAATAATTGATATAATATTATATATAGTAGATTATTATTATTTTTATTGTAGTAATAAAATATTATTTAATACTATAACTATAATAATATTGACAATATATTTAAGACTATTAATTAACACAAAAAAGTGTAATAGGAAATAGTAAATTATTATATAAATTAAAATATTCTATATACTAGACTATATTATCATATTAAATTATATTATAATATACTTAATATATTGTTATATTAAATATATAAACACGAAATTATAATATAATATTTTATATCATAAAGACAGTACAATAATATTTTTATTCTAACTAATAAAATATATTAAACAATATAAATTGATATTATAATAATATAGTACTAACATATCGGTATCTATATCTATACTTCTATATCTATATCTATACTATTATAAAAAGAGGATTAGGGTGTGAAAACTTTTAATTTTCCTTTTTGCCATCTCAAATTTTGATAAATTCTAACTATGTCATTATCTCTGATTAATCTTTCATTAAATAAATATAACATCTTATTAACTATGCACCTTCTCACCTTCTTAAATAATCAAAATTATCAATAATATTATAACTATTAATTGTTTAAAAATAATATAATAAAATAAGTATGCACAATTATTCATAGTAACCAATTGAATAATTATAATAATTTGTAGGGTCCTGAATTTGCTTATGTATACCAGGTGTAGGATCGTGACCCTTAAGAATAGAGTACGCTCTTATAAAAATCTACAGAAGCTTTACATTTAAACACTAGAGGGTGAGTTTGCAAAGTAGATTATAAATTGCAAAGAAAGAATGGCAATATCATTAGGATTAGCCCTTAGGAATCCAAATCCACTTGGAATTTGGTTTCCATTTATTAACATAAGTGTAATTCTTTGAATTGCAAACTTCATACATATAAGATGAAATATAATCATTCCTATCATGAATATTCAAATTCTTAGGAATCCATATATACTTATTTTGTTTAGCATGAATATTCTTATTATTATTCTTCAAAACATAATCATTTTTTGTAAAATACTTAGGAACAAATCCAATGCCAAAATGATTGTTTGAAGATTTTTGAAATGAGAGCAAATTATTCAAATTCTCTTTACTTTTATTGAATTTACTAACATTCAAACATATATCATCATATTTTAATTTAATAGAAGAAATATCTTTATCTAAAACATTAATGCGAATTTTTAAATCATTGCATTCTGATTTTAGATAAACATTCTCATTAGTCAAAATATGATTTTCTTTAAGCAATGATTTATTTTCCTCTTTCAATTCAATTACTTGATAATAAGAAATAGTAGAAGAATTAAAATTAGAAATTTCTACTAACTCAAATATATGTAGATGATATTATTTATTAAGAAAATAAATAAAGATATTTTACTAATTCAAATATATGTAGATGATATTATTTTTGGTTCTACTAACAACAATCTTTGTCAAGAATTTGCTAAAACTATGCAGGATGAATTTGAAATGAGTCACATGGGTGAACTAAATTTCTTTCTTGGACTTCAAATTAAACAATTAAAAGAAGGAATATTCATCAATCAAAGCAAGTATGCAAAAGATTTACTCAAACGTTTCGGAATGGAAAATACAACAAGCAAACCAACACCAATGAGTACCACTACATTACTTGACAAAGATGAAAATGGTAAGAATGTTGATCAAAAGCTCTATCGATGTATGATTGGATCACTTCTTTACATTACTGCAAGTAGACCTGATATTATGTTTAGTGTATGTTTATGTGCTAGATTTCAATCTAATCCTAAAGAATCACATCTTAAAGCAGTGAAAAGAATTTTTAGATATATTAAAGATACTACAAATTATGGTTTGTTTTATCCAAAACATAGTTCATTTGATTTAATTTCATATAGTGATGCTGATTTTGCCGAATGTAAATCCAATAGAAAAAGTACAAGTGGAACATGTCATTTCTTAGGACATTCACTTGTATCTTGGTTTAGTAAAAAACAAAATTTAGTATCATTATCAACAACTGAAGCTAAATATATTACTACAAGTCTTGCATGTGCTCAAATTTTATGGATGAAACAAACATTATCGGATTATGGCATAAATTGTCTCATATCATCCATTATGTGTGACAATTCTAGTGCAATTAATTTATCTAAAAATCCTATTCAACACTCACGTACAAAACACATTAATATTAGACATAATTTTTTACGTGATCATGTGCTTAAAGGTGACATTTCATTAGAATTTATACCTACAGATAAACAAATAGCAGATATATTAACAAAACCCTTAAAAGAAGAAATTTATGTTAAATTAAGAAGGGAATTAGGTATATGTTTAATTGAAGATTTAAATTAAATTTTTAAAACAAAAACATATACATTCATACCCTTAATAGTCGACTAATTTGACTTATAGTCGACTACATGCACAAGTTTGCATATAAATTTTTCTGTGAATTACAGTGTAGTCGACTAATTGCTTCTATAGTCGACTACTCTAAGTTAATATCTTAAAATCAACTTTCTGTTGTTTACAGTGTAGTCGACTAATTTCATTTATAGTCGACTACTCTGAGTCATAATCTGAAAATCATCTTCCTGTAGATTACAGTGTAGTCAACTACTTTTACTATTAGTCGACTACTGTTTCTGAACTCACAGTTTTACAGTTTTAAAGCTTATTGGATTTTTATTTAAATTCAAACCCAAAACCCAA